GGGTTTAGGGTTTAAACCATAAACTTATTTTGCTGCATTCTTGGCCGTAGGCTCTAAACCCTGGCCCGCGAATCCTCGCAGTGAGCACCGCCGCGTGTCGAAAATGCGCACAAATAGGCTTGTGCCTGCAACTTCTCGGCTTCCACATCCCAGCTTCCCAATAGCAAGAGTGGTCGTCGTAGTCGTCGTCATCGTAGTGGTGTGGACGTCGTAGCAGTGGAGCCCTAAACCCTAAAACCCTAAACCTTAAAACCCAAAACCCTAAAGGCCCTTAAACCCTACAATCCTCAACCCTAAAACCCGAAATCCCTGAAACAACCATCAAACAATATAAAACCTCCATGCCTATGGTGCAATGGAGTCGGTGCCAAAGATCGAAGACTTTGTGACAGGGCCCAAAGATCAGGCGGGGGAACTCCGCGCCAGGGTACAGGGTTTTAGGGTTTTAGGGTGTAGGGATTAAGGTTTAGGGTTTAGGGTTTAGGGTTTAAGGTTTAAGGCTTCTTTGGCACAAGTCTTGGGTTCTTTTCTGGTTTGTGGTCGTTTCCCTGCCCCTATCCTTGCTGGCAGGCTGGCCCAACAGTTTCCATGAAAGTGTGGGTCTCAATTCTGTCGGCGAAAACCACAAAAACTTGCACCGCTCAAAACACAACTTCGATTTTATCATTTGCTTGAGGGTTTAGGCTTTTAAGGTTTAGGGTTCAGGGTTTCAAATACCAAAAACCATTCAGGGTACATAGCACAAGGGGCCTGAACCCCTACTATTTGGGCACATGGACCCTGAGGGAAACAGGTCCTCTCAGCCAACCATAAAGGTTCAGCTAGGGTTCAGGGCTTTAGGGTTTAGGGTCTAGGGTTTAAGGCTTTAGGGCCTAAGGATTTGGAATCGACTAACCCTCCAAACCTGACCCGAGAAATCCCACCAACGATACCGCCCGGAAGAGTAGCAACGAGCCGACAGCAGAGCTCAACCGATTACGACCTATCCGCAACGGCACCACCCTAAACCCTAAACCCTTAAACCCAAATCCTAAACCCTAGGACCTTAAATCCAAAACCCAAATCCTAAAGCCTAAAACCTTAAATCCAAAATACAAATCCTGAACCCTAAAACCTTAAACCCAAAACCCAAATCCTAAACCTTAAAACCTTAAATCCAAAACCCTAAAACCTTAAACCCAAAACCCAAATCCTAAACCCTAAAACCTTAAATCCAAAACCCCAAAACCCCAAATCCCTAAACCCTAAACCCCTAAACCCTTAAACCCCTAAACCCTAAACCCTACAGCGTCTGCCAACTTCTGCGCCATCGCTCAAACGGGTTCACCAGCGATCCCCAGGTTTCTGGCCAAGTCAAGGTGGCCGCCAGCCTCCAGGAGCATTTCCTTAGCTGCCGAGTTCCTAAGCCTCTTAGGGTTTAGGGTTCAGGGTTTAGGGTTTAGGGTTTAGGGTTTTGGGTTTTGGGTTTAGGATCTATAGGATTTAGGGTTTAGGGTTTAGGGTGCAGGATCTGCCGAGTTCCTAAGCCTCACAATGTGTAAACTCTCAGTTCCCAAGGCAGTTCTACTATCCAAAAAAGTATAAGGCATACTGCCCTAAACCCTAAACCCTAAACCCTAAACCCTAAACCCTAATACTCTTTCAGTAACTATATGCCCTAAACCTACGAAGTCTCCGCAACTTCAACGGCGCCACCGTCAGAGAGGTCCTTGCCAGCACCCGCCCGAAGTAGCTGGATCGCGATCCTCCGATGCCTTCGGTAAGCCGCATAATGGAGAGCCTGTCCTGGGCTCTCTTGCTTCGTTTAGGGCTTAGGGTTTAGGGTTTAGGGTTTAGGGTTTAGGGCTGTTTGGTCGTAAGTTGCCATAATACTGGGTTTAGGGTTTATGGCTCTTTTGCTCCATGTAACTTGCCATCGTAGGGAAATCATTCCCTCGCTACAGCTGCCCATCACAGCGACTTAGATTCCTATAGAAGCCTACAGAATTACCAACAAAGTAACATTCCATAGGGCTCCGATTTATTTTTGTGCCCCTAAACCTCTAAAACCCTAAACCTCTAAATCTTAAACCCCAAGCCCTAAACCTTTTACATGGAGCTCTTTGCCAAGAAGCCTGGACCAGGGTTTAAGGTTTGGGGTTTGGGGTTTAGGGTTTGTGGTTTAGGGTTTGGGGTTTGACGTTTGGGGTTATTAGGGTTTGGGGTGGGGGGCGCAGTGGAGGTCAGAAAGGGCGTCGCCCCGAAAAATGCGCACCGCTACGGCCATCAATGACAATGTTGCAACATAGACGAGGAGGTCTTCTGCCCGTTTCCCTCTAAAGGTCCCAAGAGATAATTCCCTACACTGATCAAGTTCCTAAACCCTAAACCCTATAAACCCCAACACCCTCAAATTCCTAAACCCGAAACCCTGAACTCCAAATCCCTTCCACTTCCTAAGCCCCAACCGACCAACCTCAACCCTTCCTTGAGACCCCAAGCCCTTTAAACAAGGTATACCATAATAACGGCCTCTTCTATAGCGTTAAAAAAAGCTTACTTAAGGTATACCATAATAACGGCCTCATATATAAGATAACAGCGGTGTAATTAAGTGGTTTGGGAGTCTCAAACCCTAAACCCTAAATCCTAAACCCTAAACCCTAAACCCTAAACCCTAAACCCAAAATCCCAAACCCTAAACCCTAAACCCTAAACCCTAAATCCCAAACCCTAAGCCCTATACCGCAAACCCAAACTCCTAAACCCCAAACCCGCTTTGGCTAAACGAGAGTCTGCCCCGACCATCTGGCTGAGAAGGGTTGGCCAGTGCCTGAAAAGCCAGAGCTTTAGGTTGAGGGCTTGGGGTCTAAGGTTTAGGGCTTAAGGTTTAGGGCTTAAGGTTTAGGGTTTAAGGTTTAGGGCTTAAGGTTTATGGTTTAAGGTTTAGGGTTTTAAGGTTTAGGGCTTAAGGTTTAGGGTTTAAGGTTTAGGGTTTAGGGTTTAGGGTTTAGGGGTTAAGGTTTAGGGTGTAAGGTTTAGGGTTTAGCCTTAGGGTTTAAGCTTGCAGTAGGGTTTAAGGTTGTGAACCCTGGAATCTAGCTAGAAGCCCCCGTGTCCCAAAAACACATCATTCTGTTCACTCACCCCTGTGGAAAAACAACAGAAAGGAACATCTTTCCTAAGGAACAGCAGCCTAACCCTAAACCCTAAACCCCAAAACCCTAAACCCTAAACCCGCGCAATTAAGGCCTCTAAGAGCAGATAAGCGATGCTTTCATGGCCGCGATAGGCGGCCCATTGCAGAGCCGTGCCGCCGTCCTCAAAGCTCTTTGGGACGAGCTTTTCATTGGTGTTAGGGTTTAGGGGCTTAGGGCTTAGGGCTTAGGGGTTTAGGGGTTTAGGGTTTAGGGGTTTAGGGGTTTAGAGGTTTAGGGGTTTAGGGGTTCAGGGTTGAGAGTTTAGGGGTTTAGGGTTTAGGGGTTTGGGTTTAGGGTTTAGGCCTTCATTGGGTTTCGAGTTTAGGGATTGAGAGTTTCGCGCTTCATTGGGTTCCTATAGGGTCTTGTAGGAGGGCACTATAGGGCCGTTATTGGGTCGAATTGCTTTTTTACTATTTCTTGCTCTTGCCAAAAGTTCAGAGTAGGTTACTGTAATCGGGATATTTAGTGAAGCATATGCTCCTTATCTTGCTACTTGTGCCTTCGATTACAGCGAATCCCAGAAAGTTGGATCCTTAATATTTTATCTTAAGGGCATGAGGATAATGATGTTCCAACTTTCTTGCTTCTACTATAAATACCCTAAACCCTAAACCCTAAACCCTAAACCCTAAACCCTAAAACCCTAAACCCTAAACCCAAAACCCTAAACCCTAAAACCCTAAACCCTAAACCCTAAACCGTCAAAAGCACCCAGTCCTTGTCGGCTAAATCGCGCCGAGCCCCAGAGGCTAAGAGCAACCGCGTCGTGTTGAAATAGCCTTGTCGAGACGACATAATCAGACTCGTCGATCCTGAAACTGAACTTGTCGGGTTTGAGGCTTGGGGTTTGGGGTTTAGGGTTTAAGGTTTAGGGTTTAGGGCTTGGGGCTTGGGGTCAAGGATTTAATCAGGGTTACAAAACTCAAAAAATGCAGGCTGCTTCTTCGGGATTATATAGCAACCGAAGATGAAGAAGTATTTCCAAGGAACCCTAAACCCTAAACCCTAAACCCTAAACCCTAAACCCTATACCCTAAACCCTAAACCCTAACCCTAAACTCTAAACCCTAAACATGCCTAAACCCTAAACCCAAATTTATACCCCTAAGGGTCCAGCGTTGTCAGCCAGGTCTTTGTCTGCCCTTGCGAGCAGCAGATACTGGGCAACTTGAATGTGGCCCTTGCCTTAGGACGGTTTAGGGTCTAGGGTTTAGGGTTTAGGGTTTAGGGGCTGAGTACCCTAGCCCAAAAAAGGGTTTAGGGTTTTAGGGTTTAGGGTTAACCTTGTCAATTATGGTAAATTTTATATAAAGCCCAAAAGGTTGAAGGTTACCTACTCAGCCACTAAGTTGCAACATGCAAGGTGGAGAGCCGTCGTGCTTTGCTTATCAACCACATTGACGTTGGCCCGCTTTCGTAACAGCATGCAGAGAGTCTCCTGATCGCCAACTATGGATGCCCAATGGAGAGCTGTCCTGCCCAAATTGTCCGCGGCGTCTTGGTCGGACTTTGCCTCAAGAAGCAATCGAACGCTCCGGGAGTAGCCGGAGCAAGCTGCCTCTAGAAACGCCGTCCGGCCCGCGTTATCAACAGAATGGAGGTCCATACCTGCACGCAGCAGCAACTGGGCAACTTCTTCGTGGCCATAGTGAGCAGCCCAATGCAGAGCCGTTGTGCCATATATGTCAGGAACCGAGTTCTTGTCACCGTGCAGCAGCAAGCTGACGACCTCCTGGTAGCCCGCGGCAGTTGCGACGTGAAGGGCCGTAGCACCCTCGTAGTTGGCAAGGTTCCTTTGGGCCCTCGCCTCCAACAGGAGATGTACCGTCCTCTATACTGAACTTAGCCCCCTAGCAAAAATTATAATTTTAGCAGCTTCTTAGGGTTTATAGTAACCAGAGATTGAAAATTATTTCTAAGTACCCCTAAGTCCTGGAGAAGCCATTGGCCGAAGCCCAAATCAATGGAGTGTCACCGAGGCTGTCGGCGGCATCCACGCTCGCACCAGCCCAAAGCAACAAGCTTACTATCTCCTCATTCCCAATTTCGACTGCATCGTGAAGTGGTGTCAGACCAACAGCATCAGGCACGCTTGCTGCTGCCCGGGCTTGCAAAAGGAACTGTGCGATCTCAAAGTGACCCTCAGAACAGGCATGATGCAAGGCTGCCCCCGGATGTGCATCTTCTACTTCCGGCAGAAAATTGATCTCCGCTCGGGCGATCAGCAAGAGCCTCACGACCTCCAGGTGGCCTTTAGGGGTTCAGGGTTTGGGGTT